AGGATTCTGATCAGAAAAAATCTGCTTTAATTAGCGTTACGGAAGCAACGCAAAAGAAGTTTCGGTTAAATTTAAGAGACGTAATAAAATTACAACGTGCGATCCCGGCAAAGTCCCGCTCCCATACCACGCTCCGCCGCTACCGCCTTGCGTGGACGATTGCATAGAACTCAATGGAATACACCTTTGCATCCGCACCGGCCTCGCGTACGCCCCGGGCTCGGATCGCGCCTGTTTGTTATGTTCAAATAAAGCTAGTTAAAATCATTTTTAGTTTTTGTTTACATGAATTTAGAAGTTGATGTTTATAATATTTTATTTAATATGGAGTGATTTAATTAAGATAATGTACAGGTAAGGTATAAAAGACAATAAAAGCTTGAATACTAGAAAGTAAAACTAGGATTTTTAAATTTTATCCGCTCAAGCGATACATGCAGCCGTAGACGCATACCACACCTAGAGGTGCCGGTGATGATTTTATATCGATTTATCGGATATCGAACTTATAACAGGTAAAAGAACTAATATTAATTGCTATTTCGGTAACTACTCTAGCAAACCATAAAGTTTTTAATGCCTGGGTCTGTCATTTTAAAAAAATAAACAACTTCAAAAATACGTCACGACAATCGTGTGTGACTCGTGTGTGAATCGTGTGTGAATCGTTTGGACTGGTGATTTCGGTGTTAATTTATTGAAAACATACCCTAAGTAGCGTTTTTTAAGTTTACCCTGAATATAAATGTTAATAAACTATACTTTAAGGAGTAATTTCATGGTAAACGTTAGAACCACTCAAACAGAATATTATCATATTTATCCAGGTACACCAAAAATTTCATTAGCGCTTTTTAAGTGCAGGATTTGCGGTGTATTACTGCATTTTATTTGAGATGTTTTTGTTGGTAGTACGGAGGGTATTTATTTAGCAATGCAGAATAATAATTTTTATTTATAAAAACTTGTATTTATACTGAATGCTTTTCTAATTTGCGAAACCAAATAGCCGCCATTTTGCGGTAGGAGGAGCGCATCGCGTGAGCGGATATGAATAAAATTGGGTCCCCGCGGCATGGTGCCCAGATGCTGGCAGCGTTCCTCCTTTGTATTGCTATGCTAATGCGTGGCAAGGTAGCTGCCGACTCTTGGGTTTCCCAGACGATCTATTAATTTTTTCGATAAAAGTTTTGTACGGATGAAAGACACTGGGACCCCACGGGACAAGGGTTTCGACTCCAAAGGCTGTAAATAGGTTGTCGGACCCGAGATCCCGGTACTTATTACTTTTTATTCTCTCCGCCTATTTTATTTTATTTTATTTTACACACTTTTAAAGCTCACAAGTAATTTCTTTGAGAATGTTTGTTTGAAAGTATAGTTTATTTAGAATAGCAGTACATTACAGATTAAAACAAAATTTACTTGGTGCTATTATAACTACAAATACAAAAGTTATTACGATGTAAAGATAAGATTTCGTGAAATTACAAAAAAAGCATATTTCTATTACCGTGGCACCTAGGGCATGGGGTCATCGGGTAAAAACTAGCAAATGACCCCCTCAAACTCTCAAAAAATTTTGTCGGTCCATCTCCCAAACACCCTGTGTACTCCACAATATCCGTAGACTTTGTATGCCATCAAATCGATAAGAAGAAGGTTGTTAAGTTACGATTGTAATCTAACGACATAAACCACGTACGAATCATTTTGCATTCATTGCCTATTTAACCAATCCATACAATAAATATGTCGGTTTTCTGATTGCTCCAGATTTTTCCTCATTGTTATGTTATGTTATTACTTATTATTATTAAGTGAGTAATTAATGTTTCGTAGAAGGCAAAGGAACTCATAATATTCCGTTAACATTTTACCTTGTATTATCCAAATACCGTAAAGAAGGAGCCTGTTACGTGTTATTATTATAGACAGTTTTTGAAATTATTTAGTCTACATTTTGTACGACTAACTACAAGTCTCGTCGAGAGAACTGATACGCCTTTGCGTAACCGGATTTTAAGCAGTTAGAAAGAGAAATACTGCAACCACGCACGTTACTACAAAGCACAAGTCGGCGGCTGGCAAGGCAGAGGACATTAAATTTGTCAATGCATATTTTATGCTATATCATTAAAATACGGTGTAAATTTTAATGCACTGAAACGCAAAGAGGAATTCGCTGCAATATTCCAAGATCGGTCTACGCTCGTGTGGGGACTTGCGTTGTCGTACGCAAATCTGCAAGGGGTTGTCAAAAAATGGAAAAGGTGTAATTATTATTATAATGTAATTATTACTTATCAATACTCAATGATTATTATTAATAATAATAGTAATTTATTTAAGATCATTGATCCACTATGTTAGTAACAATTAAAAACTTAGGACTATGTTAGTAAATTACACCTAATAAAATAATTAAAATAGAAATACTTAAAAATAAATAATAGAAATCAACAATAGGTATGCGGAATGTCACCAACCCTTCTTGGTGACATGAATTCTGGTCCAATGGCACAATATCGGACACGCTACATCCTCCGATATGGTGTTCAGAAGGCTGTGACCGCTGTGGGTGAATTATACGTTGAAGGATTTCTGCGTATAATTAACCCACAGGCCGCAGGTGTACAGTATCTGGCAGTAGGCCTTAAAAAGAGTTTGACCTCATTCGTACACCGCGCAAACCTGCGAGCCAACATATTGCACCTTACCGTCAATGCCTTGCGCTCCCTATCCAGCTCTAAGTTATCTGTGAGCGCATCAGTCACCCAGTGACCCAGGTATTTAAACTACTTCACTTTATGAAGAGGACCACCATCTAGTGTATTATTAAATATGACTTATGTAGTAATAAAGATTTACATAGGGCGCTCTATAAGTTTCCGGAACTGGCCACTTACATAAACAATATTTAAAAAGCCATTACAACATTTGAAAATGAAACTCTTTGGCTGTAGAATACAGTTTGTTTCATCTGACTGTCACTTGTTTTACATTGTGGCGTCATTTTAGAAATTGGTTGTCTACATCACCAAGGATTTAACTCGTGAAAATTTTCGTAGTATGATTTTCTACGACTTTAAGTGTAATTTAACAGCTCGGCGGAGCTTTGCTCGGCTTCAAACTGCTTTTGGCGATGAAGCACCAAGCAAGGCTACTATTTATAGCTGATTTGCAGAATTCAAACGCGGTCGTGTGAATCTCAGTGACGAATTTCGTGATGGTCGCTCGTTCACTGCTGTGAACAACAAAAACATCGATGTTGTGCGCCGTAATATCAAAACAGACAGGAATGTGTCATACCATGAGATTCGGGCATCTTTAGGCACAGGCATGAGTTAAATACAATCAATACTACACAAACATTTGGGTGTGAAAAAGCTGTGCTCTCGGTGGATCCCACACAATTTGACTTAGGCTTAAAAAACGGATCGCGTCACTTGGTGCAATGCCATGCTTACCAAATTCAACGAAGGGGCGTCAAATTTGGTGTGGGATATAGTAACAGGTGACGAAACATCGATTTATAGTTGCGATCCTCAAAACAAAGCAGCAATCGAGCGTATGGGTCTTTCAAGTTGAGCCGAAACCAACCAAAATGGCGCGTGCATAAAACCTCTAAGCGGACGATTGCTTCTTTTTTTAATAAAACTGGACACCTGGCTACTGTTGCTTTGGAAAAACGTTGTACCGTAAATAGTGATTGGTATTCGACCATTTGTTTGCCGGAAGTTATTGACAAACTCCGTAAAAATAACCGTAAACACCATATCATCTTGCACCACGATAATACCAGTTCTCACATGGTCAGACGGACAAATGAACTTTTGAAGGTGAACAACGTTGACCTTATGAGCCATCCCGCGTACAGTCCCGACCTAAAACCTTGTGACTTTTATTTATTTTCAAAAATTAAAAACCAGTTACGCGGTCAATGATTTTTATCACTTGAAGAGGCTGTCGAAGAGTATGAAAAATATGTTTCAGAGATTGTCACGGAGGAGTGGCATAAATGTTTTCTAAATTGGCTTATTCGTATGAAAAAGTGCATTACGCTAACGGAGAATATTTTGAGAAACAATAAATTCATTTCTGGCCATTTATAGTATTTTTTTCTTATTCATTTCGGAAACTTATAGTGCGCCTCACGTACAAGTGTTGCACTGCAAAATATTTACGTGACTCTTAATTTTTAGATGCTTTCAGTTTTCTGTTATTATACTTATATTAATGTAATGCATTTGTATTCAAATGAACAATTCGATCATAAAAAATGGAGGAAACATGAGAATGGCCGTGATTTAAATTCTACTTAGTAACTTATGAAATTTTAAATCCCAATTGTATTTTGATATCATATTACATTCGTGCGCAGAAAATTTTCTTAAGTGCCAACATATTTGCATAACATGATTATAATGGAACTCGCTAGAAGTAATCAAAAATATTTTAAAATTCGCACATGCCAACACTTGATCCGGCAAACTAAGCGTGTTTGCAGGATGCGGCCAGCTTCGCCCGACTCTCCTCGAGTACCCCGCCGTTGCTCTGAGCAAGTACATTCGTTTCGCAACTGTCTGTTTTGTAAAATTGTGTTTGTACCTGGACGACTTCGTTGACTACGGCAGCAAGTTAGGGTTGTTAAACGACTCAGCGTGTGTACTGGGCAGGCTGCTGTTTTTGGCGGGCAAGCAAAAGCAACCTATCGACCTAGTGCAAATGCACCATTATTTACAAACATTGTTGGATAGAGATTGTGCTGTAAACGTTTACATTATTTTTGCTATTGTTAATTTTGTGCATTACATTTTTTATCTATGACAATAAACAATTGATTCTTTTAAATATTTTTCAACGAAGCAGCAGCACCATTAACATAAGAAGGAAATATTTTAATAATCAAATTTCTTATAACAATACTGTTGTTTGTCAGAATCGGTAATTCCATACATAAATGCGCTAAGGAAATAATAAATATGACGGCACAGGTGAGTTTCCCTGTACACATAGGTCTGTTATAGTGTATGTGGTCTTATTAAGTGTGACTTTGTCAAGTAAAGACCGGCAAAATGTTGAAATTAATTATTGTGTTTTCGTGTTTTACGCTTTGTGAGTATTTTTGATGATTTTTTCCAAATTGGTTTTTAAGTATATTTATGTAATGTATTTAAGTATAATATTATTTATGAATCGAAATGCTTGTTTTGAAGTTAGAGCTTATTTTGTTTCATAGAAAAATCCTTTTGCTGTTGATTTTGCACACAATATAGTTTTTAGTGATATTTGTCTTTGTTATATCAGATGTTCAAAAGTGAATTTTCATACAATGACGTACGATATGTTTTTGTATATTGATCGTTACGCATATTATGGGGCAAAGGTCTGGTACAGGAAAATATTTTGTGTAAAATTTTTAGCATTTGGGTATAAAAATGAGTTGTCGGTTGTTTTTTTGTAAAATGTTATTGTGTTTATACTAAAGTAATTAAGAGTCCATACTACCTCAGCTCAAATTCAAAATTTTCCCGTACTACTACGGTTGATTGTGCTTGCGTCGAGCGGTAGGGACACTGGCTTTATTTCAGCATTTAATTTTTTTTAGAAGCTAAATTAAATCTTTTTGAAAAATGTGTATCGTATACTATATGTCTTCTATTTAGTTCAATTGTAAAGTACCTACACAGCGGTTTTTTTGTAAAATTTCGAGGTGAGTTTGTGTTTCTTTTCTATCATGAAAATTTTTCGGAATCGTGTTTTCACACTGTACACCATTGACTTACAAATAAATGGACGGCGGGTCTAATACAAAAACCACGAAAAAAATGTCCCAAGTCAACCAATTTAAACGTAGCGACATGTAAAGGAATATGAAAACGCTAAAACGTTGAATTTAAATTGTAATGTCATCGCAGTACTGTCGAACAAACGAAGACTAAAGCGTGAATGACGCTCTGTATACGATTTTAACGCCCTATAAGTTCGGACACTTTTTAGCGCAGACCCGACGTAAATATAATTGTGAGTCAATGCTGTATACCAATCAATCCTCAATTTGGCTATATATTTTTTTCTAAAGTGGTTGATTCAACACTTTCACTGCTATGTGGCAACAAGCAAAGCCATTTGAGTTTGTAACGACTCTTAAAGACGACCTAGTGATAGCCTAGTGGCAGAACTGTTGCTTTGAACTGTGAGGTCGACAGTTCATATCCGTGTTGCGGCATGTATTTATGACATTTGTGAGATCATAACCAGCGTGGAATCATGATGGACTATGGACTAGCCCTCTCCTGAAAGTATGCTGAGCAGTTGGACGTATAATGAATTGATGATGTTGGTGATCTTATGGCAACATGAGGTTAGCATTGTGAGGAGGTCCCGAGTTTAATTGTAGGTCGAACCAATTTAAGAAATGGGCTTTTCTAAATTATTTCATATTTGTGTAGTGCGTGGTATTCCCGAGTTAGAGATCAAGTAATTTCACATTATTATAATATATAATATCAATGATATTTTTGATAAATTAGTTACTTACCATCTCAAAAAAACTGTTAAAGAAAAAGATGAAAGAACACCTATTAAATGCATAGAAATTAGGACTGTAGGTGCAAAACCTGTTACGTTTTCGTCTATTTATTTATATAATATTAATTATAAATGGTATACTTGCCACGTTTACTGTAACTGTAAGATCTCTAAGTGGCAACATTTAATGTCACGGAAGTTCATAAGTAACACGCGTACACCCATACAAACGCAAGTTATTTTACATAGTCTCAACATAAACGCATACAGAAATTTGGTTATAACTATCTTGTAACATAAAATGTTGATATAAACGTACGTTGCACGCACGCACACACACTCAAACACGCACACATACACACACACATTTTATCATGTTTGTTTTTCTCATGAAATAAAAATATTTATATAATCTTCATTTCATAAAATGATAAAGCCAGAGAATTGTCGGAGATGATGTGTGGCGTCTCTTTGAACACGGTTCTGGCAGAATATCAGCGTCGTGGGAAACCGTGGCATTTATGCTGAGCCAGCGTCTTTTCACTGCCATGACTTCCAAAACTATTTACTTTAATTAGTTATGTGTTGTACGTTCCATTTGTTATTTTAAATGGTTCAATATAATAATAATTATGGTGTTTGTTTTAGTGGATCCTATGTAAATAAGTTGTCATGGACGTGAATAAAGTTTTTATCTATTTATCTATCTACACGGTAAAAACAGATTACTTAGAAAAAGACAAAATTCTTTTTATGAAGACAAATTTAATAAATCCAACAAAACGATCCTCTCCCTGTAGACGCTAGAGAATAATTACTTGATAATAGTAAAAAAACGTCTCAAAAGTGTATTTTAGTTACAAGACAGAAATATTTAATCCAAGAGCAAATTAATTTAATTCAAGTCACAAAGCCACTCTAGATTCAACAAAATATTTATTTGTTATTAGAAATGTCCGATTTCGATTTGAAAAAAAAAGAATGAAAAATTGAGAGGTACCTACTTAACATTGACTTACAATTATTTGGACGTCGGGTCCGCGCTAAAAAGTGTCCGAACTTATAGGGCGTTAAAATCGTATACAGAGCGTCATTCACGCTTTAGTCTTCGTTTGTTCGACTGACAGCGAAGCAAGCAAAATTAGACAGTACTGCAATGACATTACAATTTAAATTCAACGTTTTACTTTTTCATATTCCCTTACATGTCACTACGTTTAAATTGGTTGACTTGGGACATTTTTTTCGTGCTTTTTGTATTAGACCCGTCGTCCATTTATTTGTAAGTCAATGGTACTTAATTATTTGACTGAAGATTTACGTTTTCTAATATCAAAAAGGGTAAATTATGTTATGTACCCAACAGATATGTCTCACTAGCGTGAAAGCACACAGCTCAGTGCCAGAACCAGTACCTTAAAGTAGCAGAAATAGGATAGAATCTTCTCAAATACTTGAGAACCATTCAATGCCGTTTAAATGCTACAGCGGCAGTAAAGCACTAACAATTCCAAATACACACATCAAAAGTGTCTAGGGATCAAGTACGTTTAAGAGTATTGCTGCAATTAGGGTTAATTATATTAACTTTTTTGTATCGCTATTGAGTCGACTTTTTAGTGAGTTTTAACATTTAAATAAGGAATATTGTTTAAAATTCGATAATAAGAAGAAAATCGATTGTCAATGTGGTTTTGTATAAAAATGAGTTATATCGTTTTGACAAAATCATTACAATATCTGCATCGGAACCGAAACAATTTACATTATTATGGAGAGACGACATCATTTAACCCGAGAAGTGATGATGCGAGCCGTCGGAATGTTGGAAGCTGATTCCAGGCAACCTGCTGTGGCTTTCACTCTTAACACTACACAGAGCGTCATAAGTCGCCTCTGGACGCGCTATCGCATGACGGGCAGCGTGGCCGAGCGACATGGAGGACGATCTCGCATCACGACTCGCAGACAGGACCGGTATATCCAAAATACTGCTCGACGGAATCGTACCATGACCGCCATGATGTTGGTTACGAGGCTCCACAGCTCCTCAGGCTTACTAATAAGCGATCAAACAATCCGAAATCGTTTACGTGAAGTGGGTCTGCGATCCCGAAGGCCGCTCAGAGTTCCACCTATTGCACCCTGCAATCGCAGGACCCGTTTACGATGGGCTCGCGAACACAGAAACTGGGAGGAAGAAGACTGGCGCTATGTGTGCTTTTCGGATGAATCCCGCTTCGGTATGAGACCGGATACAAGACGTACTCGAGTTTGGAGAACATCTGGACGTCATGAACGTTTGAGATATTGTCAGGAAGTTCATCCATATGGTGGGGGAACAATAATGATATGGGCCGGTATTTAGATCGGCGGAAGAACCGATCTCATTTGGATCAGGGGTAACCTCAATGCTCAAGTTTACGCAGAGAGGATTGTTTCAGATGTTATCATCCCTTTGCCCGAGGCCAGTTGGGTGATTCATTTCAACTAATGCATGACAACGCACGTCCACACACGGCTAGAGTCGTAACACGCATTCTTGCCGAAGCTCGTATCAACGTTCTGCCGTGGCCTGCTCAATCGCCAGACCTCAATCCAATTGAGCACGCATGGGATATGCTTCAAAGAAGAGCTGTGCCGAGTATGCATACCGTACATACTCTACAACAATATTTTGACTTGTTACAAAACACATGGGCGGCCATTCCTCAAAGTGATTTTGATGAACTCATCTTAAGCATGCCAAATCGCTGTAATTGTGTGATTCGTGTTAATGGTGGAAATACAGATTATTAATTTTCTTATCTTTACAATAAAAATGAGCAAAATCATCATTTTCGCCATTTTTTTGTCATTTAATTGACGCCGTTAATTTGAGTTTTTTCCCACAATTTGCAAAAACATCAATTTTAGTTTATTTTAATTAAATATAGGGGTCAGCGGTTAAATAAAACATAAGCATTAAAGTAAGAAGACGTCCTGGACGACTGGATTTGGTAAATATTGCTTAAATAATTTTTATTTCAAAAATATTCACTTGATCTCTCGACACTTTTGATGTGTGTATATGAGATGACTTTATACTATCGAAGTTAACAAAACGATAGCGCGTTTCAGAGTACAACTAATGCCATCTAGCAGTGGTGTGATGGAACTAGTTGCATATTAAAGTTGTGCTTGTTACACAAGTGTAGTTTGATTTCATGCTGTAACCAAATTTCTTAAATTATGACTATAAATAACACCCTAACAAACTAGAGATACTACGTATTGTTTCTTTGGATATATGACTTCAAAAATTTTTATGATTACAAGCACAAGTAAAAGTAATCGTTACCGCGTGCGCTTTCGGCGACATGTCACCACAACATTGACTACGAAAACGCAACGAAATGTTGCTTTAAGAATATACTCTAGAATTTAGAATGTTAATCTGAATAGAAAACTACTTCTTTTTTTGTTTAAGAATATATTTTCTTAAAATACACCCAAGAAATTTTGAATTCATTTAAGATTATTTAAATTTGATGTAAGAGGTAAAAAGTAATGTCCAATTAATTGATTAGAAATGAAATAAAATCTTCAAGTGAACGTATTTGTCTCAAAGTTTGAATAAAGTTAAGAGTAAAATTGTATTAGAAAAAGATAAACAGTATCTTTGTAATGACAATATTTTATTACTTTAAACAATTATTTTTTTCAGAATTAGCAAATATTTTGAGAAATTGCTCTTTCTTATTAGTAGAAATCCTTTTTTTCTGTGTACTTATACGCCCTTCGATTCCCATTGGGGTAGGCACAGATTTACATAACAGCTCGCCACTTAGCACGACCTTGGCAAAACTCACTTGTATTACAATTTTTCTCAGCCTTTTTAAGAATATTCTCGATTTCCATAAAAATGTCCTTTGTGGTCGTCCTCCTCTAATATTGCCTTCCACGTTAGCTCTATAAAATTTTTTCGTCAATTTACTTCCATTCATGCGCTCCATGTAACCCAAACCACCACATCATACCCTTCTTTATTTTTGTCCCTACGTCCTTTTGAAAATCGTTCATGGACCCTGTTTTTCTTTGTGTCACATAATCACACATCATATAATTTTTTTTATAAATTACTACTACGTTATTATAATTCCGTCTGTCCGACTGAACCTCAACCAGTGATCTGCCAACAACTTTTTCATATTCGCCATGTATTCTTTTTCGTGGCCAGCTACACTAATGAATAGATTATTTTAGATGCATTATTGATTATTATGCTGATTCAGCGCCCTTCCACTTCTAAGACAAAAAAAAAACTTTTTTTCACCTCATTATCTCGGAAAGACTTCTTTCTCATTCAAAATCTACTCGCAAAAGTGTGTTGTCCACGCTAGCGTGGAAAAGATTTTTGAAATTCGAACATGGATGGACTGTAGTGCACAATTCTTTCGATGAAAAAAAAACACAATGGCACGTTCAACTTCACAATTTGACGTACAATATTTATGTGTGTATGGTATATTTTATTACTATTATTGCTGACATCATTGACTTACAAATAAATGGACGACGGGTCTAATACAAAAACCACGAAAAAAATGTCCCAAGTCAACCTATTCGAAATTTAAATTGTAATATCATCGCAGTATCGCAGAACAAATGAAGACTAAAGCGGAGTGTCGCGCTCTGTATACGATTTTAGCGCCTTACAAGTGCGGACACTTTTTAGCGCGGACCCGACGTCCATATAATTGTAAGTCAATGGCTGACATTAATAATAAATACAAAGATCGAACACTCAGAAAAAAATCCTTCGATCTGGCCGGATTCGAACCGACGTTTTCTAGCATACCGTGTCAGACGCTATACCAACTAAGCCATGGAACGAACCAGCGGACCTCACGAATTTTTCTATGTGCTTGTTGTTGTGTCTTTGTATTTTGCAACGACTTTTTAGTCGTAGCGCCATCTATGAGAAATGTACGAAAGTTTTACCACCCAGTTAGATACCTTTACAGCTACCGGTCCTGGCGAGAGATGTCGCGATTCACTGTATTTTTATTGAATTGATTTTTAGACTGAAATTTGAATTGATTATTTTTCCTCGTGATAGTGAGGGAAAAGTTGTGTGTTTGTTGTTTTGCGTTTCGTGTCTTACAACCCTTCGCTACGCTCAGGATTCTATTTTTGAACCACTCGCGACATGCTTCGCTTGCTCAAGTTTCAATATATGCGCTCGTGTCAAACAACAACTTTGCAGCCTTGCATAACAGACTAGTGCACTAGCGATATCCGAAGCGGGTCCGAGTTTTCTAGATTTGTATAGTCCCGGATTCGGAATGAATGCGAATCAGATACAGTGTGTAAAGGCGCTTAAGTTTGTATTTTAACAAAATATTAGAATTACATCATTGACTTACAAATAAATGGACGACGGGTCTAATACAAAAACCACGAAAAAAATGTCCCAAGTCAACCTATTTAAACGTAGTGACATGTAAAGGAATATGAAAAAGGTAAAACGTTGAATTTAAATTGTAATGTCATCGCAGTACTGTCTAATTTTGCTTGCTTCGCTGTCAGTCGAACAAACGAAGACTAAAGCGCGAATGACGCTCTGTATACGATTTTAACGCCCTATAAGTTCGGACACTTTTTAGCGCGGACCCGACGTCCATATAATTGTAAGTCAATGAATTACATTTAAAATGTTACCAAAATAGTCTACACTCAGCTTTTTGCAACGAGATCTGATAAAACACCATTCAGTTAAAATTCAAAGCTAAAAAAAAATTTTTTAATGCTGGAGTACGTGAAGAGTAGGTGGAGTGTAATAAAATCAAAACTGACTGGGCGTGTATTGTTTGTGCAATGTGTATTTGTATCATACTAGTGTATAAAATATTCGTCTATCTAACTGACCTGTGGATCGAGCCAGCAGATCTTGTGAATTTCTCCACATGCTTGTAGAGGATTTTTCTATTGGGTTTAAACGGTTTTTTTTGCAGCGCCATCTGTGAAAATTCATAAAAGTTTCTTCATTCAGTCATGTATGTACCTTTCCAGCTACCACAATTAGGACAGAGATGTCACTATATTAATTACAATATTAATGTTAAAAACATCATGATATTCAATAAAAACAAACACTGAAGTCATAAAAGTGTTCCTATTCATCTTTTCCAGCTATTCGTGCACAGTTGTGGGATAATGTATATAATAACATATCTGTATATGAAAACGATGGCATTGGTACGTAATCTATTTCTTTTATTTTTCATTTAATCATTTATTTCGCAGGAAAACACAAATCACATAATTAAAAAAGAGAGCACGAGCAAAGAGCACTGCTTATTGGCAAAAGAAATTTCTTCCTGCAGACTTAAATACAGGGCACAACAACCAAAGTTGTTTAAAATAAAAAAAAACAATATCAATAAAATTAAGTAACATAAACTTTATAAATACTTTTTTTTACAATACCAAGTGACGGGACAAACAAGTTGTGCGCCTGCGCACGCCTATCTTTAACAGTTGCAGTGCCACACAGAGCTTTAAATCGCAAAGATGTTAGGATCACTGCCACTGCGCCCGTCACCCTGAAACATAAATTCACAAGTCCCGTGTGCCTGTAACGTCACCAGTCGCCTGAGAGCTGACGGTGCGTTGTACCGTTATATAAATTAGAACTACATGCCACATGCGACGACGTAATGCGTGTGCATCAGAGGGACAGGAGACGAAGCAGGCAATTAATCACAGGCACATTGGACTCGTCAAGTTATGTCACAGGGTGACAGGCGCAGTGGCACACCTAAGATAGCGACACGCCTCGCTTACTACCTGTAGCACGACTTGTCTGTCCCGTCACTTATATTATATAAAAAAACGAAATAATTCGAATAATGATACAAATTATGTGTGAAATTTTATAAATCTTCTTCGTCCAATCATAATATAGAATATGATGGCAATGTTTTCTTATTATAAACTACAATGTCTACAAACCAAAAACAAAAAAAGACTCTTAAAATGAAACTTGCTACGTACTTATTGGCGTAGCAAATGCTCCTGTGATGTGTCCTCTGTAATGCGGATCACATTCTGCTCATAAACAATCCTACATAAGTCTCTTAATAATAATAATTAGTGTTGTTTTTGTTTTCAGTTCCAATATCAATATTAATATCTCCTGCTATAACGACCTTGCCAGCCATGGAAAACGTATTGCCACATATGACCTGTCGATTAAACGGAACATTTTTATCGAAATATAAACCTTATGTACTATCTTGGTATATGAACGGTATGTACTTTGTTGTAGTGTAGTTCCTTTTGTTACACATTGGTACTTTCTTATTGAAGTCGAAATATGAACCAGTTGCAAAAACGTGATCGTATTGCGGTTAACGTATGAAATTGCTGCTCGAATCTTCACGCTACATGGATATCAAATAAACTATTTATAATGTACGGTACAGATTAAATATTTTTGAAATTATAGTCGTTTATGTGACTGTTGCATAATCAAACGGCATTAAAATACGAGTGAGGGTTTATGGAACTCGCTGTCGGATCGTAAATACATTTCATAAGTGTTTTAATGCCTAATTACGTACAGTTACTGCTTTATCTACACACACATTATAAGCTCTCTGTGATGTGTTCAGGAACTGCATGTTACGACTGGCGAAATGGCGGCAAATAAAAATTTTTCTCACGCATCACGCGTCACATAACCGTACTTTTTATTTTTAATTCACAGACAAAGTAGAATCGGCCCAACTATCATATCGTTCGATATCAAGTAACGTGTGAAATTGTCAAAATTGTTTGCTATTGACATTTCATTTCGAATAAAACTTCATCTCGACTGATATTAGAATTGTGTTGTGTTGTGCTGTGTGTTAGGTCCAATCAAACACACAGCACACAACGCACAAATAGACACACACACACACAAACACACACACACCACACGTAGTTCAAAAACTGTTTTGTCTTATTTCCTTGTCATACTTTTGCTTGTACTCTTTTGGCGTGTAGAATGTTTGGCATTATTTTTGTAACTAAATCCGAGGAAGACGTAGCGTCTGCCATATAGTTTTATTTAAAATTAGTACGGACGCTAAAGTTTAGCCTTATCTTAATATGTTTCTTGTTTAATAATGTCACCTAATTTTGAGATAGCATGCAATTGCATTGACTCAATAAAGAATTATTATTTTTATTTAAATTGTTTTGTTTTTCAGAGATGGTCCAAATTTGAAATAATAACATCGAACCCGTTGTTATTATGAAGCAATAATATAATAATAATAACATTTTCACAGATCAGACATTTATTCTAACAAAACAGTTTACCTTTATGCTGGTCGTAATTTGCGGTTTTTGAACACATTATAGAGAGTTTATGATATGTGTGTAGATAAAAACTTAAATGCTTCGAAATTGATTGTTTTGTGGAAAAAACCTTTTGTCCATTACAAAAATATCGTTGCTTTTCAAGAATATTGGCCCAATCTAAAATACTGCCTTTTTTACTTGCTGCTAAGATTTGCTCAGAAAATACTCTTTAACGGCAAATGAGTCCCGGAAAACGAAGACCTGCGACAAGCAGATAGAAAAATTCGCAAGGTCCGCTAGTTCGTTCCGTGACTAAGCAGCGAACCGTGTCAGACACTATGCCATGTCTGGCACGGTTTGTTGGAAGACGTTGGTTCGAATCCAGTCATAACAAAAAAAACTTTTTTTAGTATTCTAATTATTACACACTAGTGGAGCAATTTCATAAAAATAATTGAATATCATTATCAAACATCGTGATATTTAATGAACTTAAAAATTATAATGAAAATTTTCAATTCAATAGCGAGTATCATAGACAATACAATTTTGATTAAGAACTAAAAAGAACGCGATAAGGCTTCTGAAATTATAATTTGTAAGAGGAGTCCTGTGCCCAATAGTAAGACTATACTGACTATTATTTTAATAGCCCCGTTTCAATTTCAGATGTAGCAGTGCAATCAGAAAACAATGCAACTTTTCTACGTTGGAACAGAACGTTATCATCCGTCGATATAAATAAAGAAATATATTGTGGTTTAAACCACTCTTCTAAAGATAATGATTTAGAAAAGGTTTTATCATCGAAGAAAATTCAAATAACTAAACCACCAAAATCCAGTAAGTTTTGTTCATCCAAGGATTCCTTTGATCTTTTATATGTTCAGTTTTCTGGAAAAAAATATTGACACACATACTCAATTGATCCCGTAGTCCCAAAGAAGGAACATTGGAACTATTTTACAAGAAAAAAAAACTGACCTCCAATAGTTTACGTGTATTGGACAAGTTTTATTGAAATCGATTAATGGAAAGTGGGTGGAATCCAGTAAACCGTATTCATCCCCTAATTTGCCGCCCTTAGAGATGGTAAGGGTTCTGGTGCAATTACAGGCATGTAGGACTTGTTCACTTATATCTCAGGGACGCAGTGGCTATGCCCGTCCGATCTTTACGATTTAAAGCTCTGGCTGAAGCAGTGTAGTTTAGATACCGGTAAAATTTTCTATAAACTAAATTAAATTTCATCTTCGAAAGACTTTTCTGTCTGTACTGTAGTAGTAAACCTCGTTAAGTCCATATTTCTGCCGCGAAGCCGTAGTGCAAACGTTATTGGGTTTAGGTTTTGAAAGGTGCTTGTGAAATTAAAACTTTAGGGGCTTGTCAATTTTTTTTTATGAAATATTATGTGCGCATTTGACCTCAATCTCACTTGATGGAAAATGACGATGAGGTCGACGATGGAGCATGCACACCTAAATAATACCTATTCACTCTCGCCTTGAAAAGATCCAAGTTATAACGTTCAGGGAACAAGTCTGCAGGCAGGGAATTCCACTCCATGAAGGCGAAGGCAGTTCGCTGCTCGCCTGATCCCCTAGTGAGACCAGCGGGCTCTGGACAGGGACTCCGGAGTCTGCATTGCACGGCCTCACTCGTCTGGGGGGCGGGTCGGAGGACAACCGACTCGCCCCTCCGTTGGCGCGGGAGCCCTGGCGTAAGCTAGGGCGGCCGGGCGGCGTCGTGGTGAATGTTCACTGATCCCACGGCGCCGACTCAACCGGCGAGAGGGAAACCCGGGGGGTTTTAGTGGGGTAGGCCCTCCAGCCTGGAGGGAGAGTCCCCACATAACCCCTGAGTCTCCCTGGGCTCAGGGGTATCCATAAAGATTTCCCCCCCGACAAAAAAAAAAAAAAAAAAGGGAATTCCACTCCATAGCCGTTCGCCATATAAATGTGGAAGCGTAATGCTTCGTGCAAATCTTTGAAATATCCACATCATAGGGGTGGAAGCCAAGCCTACGCCTAGTCCCCCGTTGATGGAAGGGGAAGGCGGAATTAAATCGTGTAATTCCATCGCACACTCTCCGTGATATATCCTGTGCAATACTGATAAGCAGGCAATTTTATAGGGTGATGGCTGCAGTGCTCATCGGGTCTTTGCGATTTAAAACCCTGAGTGACACTGCAACTGTTAAGCTAGGTACTCATAATAAATCATAGTATGTACGTGGTTCGCAGTGAGCCGACGATAACCAGGTACTCATTCTCGCGAGTGAAGACTCTTTCACGCGTACACACTGGAACCTCGTTACTGCATCTGTCACGTTACAGTTACAGCTCGCTAATAAGTACAGTGCTTTAAAGCTGTCATGACGTGACGTGTCGCCACCACGCGCACGACTTGTTCGTCACGTCTCATCGTTAAAAAGGTGTACAGAATTTGCCCAATTAAGCTCCATTGTCCTTAACTTTGTGTAAAACAAAATTGCTGTGGTCCATATTTAAATGTAGGAAAGCCAGCTCAATAACACAGATCTGTAGACTAAGAATCTTTTAAATGTCTTACAGACAGCATCACACTTGGGTTGTGAATGATGCTGATTTTCCTGACTTTCAATAGCTATAGTACCCTCGATTAAAAAGTGAAGAAAGTGGAAAATTTACATTTTTGGGAACTGACAAAATAAATATTTAAATAATCTCAGTACAGAGTACTAAAACTCCTACCTCAAAATTTCGTAGAATTTCGTCTATTTGCCAAGTTTTATTGTAATCGGAAGCGGAAAGTACGCGGAACCGGATTCGTCCCCTAGTTTGCCACCCTTAGAGGTGGAAAATTTTCTTCAAATTTAAATGGACCACCAATGATGAAATGATGTACCCTCTTTCCAACGAAAACAGAATCATCAAAATCGGTTCACAAATTTTTAGCCAAACTTATCACAAAGCAGTTATCGCGTAACATACATACAAAAAAAATACAGTAGAATAGAGAACCTCCTCCTTTTTTGAAGTCGGTTAAAAACATGAGAAGTAAAAGTGATACGTCGTTTTTTTAAATCAAATAGAGTTTGTCGTAGTGGACACTAACTAAATGGCGTTACTTTCTCAAAAATTACTTTTTCAATTTATAGTCACTTTTTTGAGGGTGCGGCATGTGGTTACACTCTCCATCAGGTAGATAGTTCGATGGTTAAAATGCCTGTTGCTTTTTGTACCTATGACTTCAATCTTCTAAATGTAAGTAACATTTGTAAAGGAAAACTTCATGAAGGACAAAGAAAATTGACAGCCCTGGGTAATGTGTAATATAACTCCTTAGAGGAGAAGCTCCTCCTCCCTGTCCGGCAGTGGGCCATACAGTTGATGTTGTGAATAATGTATTTGATAATGTTGTTTAAAAATATCACTATTATTTAATTACTTTTGTTTCAGGCCCCCTAGATCTAATAATAACACCCAACGTCACTGAATTGGAAACCACGGAAGGCGTAGTACCAAATCTTATCTGTACACCTAAAGGATCCAATCTACCGAATTACATTCCTTATGTACTATCCTGGTATCTTGAAGGTACAGTATACATTATAGTATCTATTTCGTTGTTTTAATACCATTTAAATATAAGGCACAAATTAAAAGATGCCACTATCCTGGTGTTAGATAGACTACGTCATGTACTTTCATGCCTATAAATGATCCGGTTAGCTCTTGCATGTTGCCTCAATCTATGATATTTAAGTAAATATCATAATGATAAACGTATACAAATGTTTATATACCTTTGTATATAAACATTTGTAAGGATCTTTATCCTTACAAATGAATAGTAGAGATTAAACAGTGTAACGATTTCAAGGGTAATTTGCTTAGGTACCTATATAAATATTGAGTTTGAGTTTACCATCACGCCTGTCGCCAACTAGGGCACGTGAAGATTATAATTTATAGGCTCTTTTTCTTTCTGTTTTGATACTAGTTTAGGGGAGTTTTTTTTAGTTCTTTGATCTGCCTTTTGGAAGTCTTAAAATTCTCTCTACATTCAAAACTAGAATCAAAGTGCTTTATGAATTAAGTAACAAAAGCATAACTGTCATAAATACAGTTGCATTACGAACTACCAATAACTCTCTTCTTTTGATATAAAACAGGCACCGTCTCACCTGATATTAACGATGTGACCGACTATGGTACGCGTTTGTCTGAAAATGCCTATTCACTCTAGCCTTCAATAGCCCTAAATTGTACTTTATTCCTTTGGCAAATATATCAATTGTATAAAAATAGAGTGTTCCAAACTTTCTAGTCGACTGAAGGACGAACAGTAAAGGTGGAACTAAATTTAAAAGTCCTGGGCACTGTTACCGGAATGTATCCGACCTTATCGATATCATGGTATCCCAAGCTGCTACATTTGGTCAAGCTCCAGAAAACTGCACTCAACAACAATTGCACAATTAACTTACTTACGATGTACTTATATGTAGTATAAAACCAGACCTTAAGGATATCCTATGAAAAAAACACTACATGATGGAGAAAGATCATGGTCTTGGTAGTTGGAAGTTCTTCGAAACATGCTATAATACCTGTCTCCCACTGAAGTGAGCAGAACCTCCGCCTGCTATGTTTCTGACATTTGTCGTTTCGTACTGGCCGTTTTTTGAAATCATCTTTAATAAAAAAAGATAAAATTAAAAAATAACAAGTATGAAATGTTTTTGTTAATCACGATTCTAATTTGTTTATTCATATTTCAGATATCGAATTAAACTTCGAAGTCAACGCAATTGATCTACCCTTAAAAAAAACTTTTACAACAAATGATACAAATAAAGCAATCTATTGCGCTATAAAGTTATTCATTTCCAGTGAAGATGGAGATAGTGAAGATGCATATACACTTGTATCAGGACGTATAATTAAAAAAATTTATATAACGAAAGTGTCTAAAGCTTTGAAAAGTACGTTGTTGTCTTTTTTTTAAAGCTATTAGTGACACTGCCACGGCCGTGGCCAAGCGTGGAGACTTTTGTCCCGTCAACGTGCCATAGAACTACATCAATATTTAATACGAGTACCAGAGCAACGAAATTCACTCCCTAGAAAAATCAAACCAAAATCAATTAAGAAAAGTTCTTTTCTCTAATATTGGTCTTATCGGAACTTTATCACACAGCAATAACAGTGCTAACTATTATGACACCAAGGTGGTCCATTCACCGATACGCTTGGAACACCTTCCGTATACGTCACGCTGTTATACACAACATTCAAATATTTCCAAAGAACATAGATCGCAAACGCATGAAGGCTTAACCGCCTCCTGTTTGCGGAATCCTTAAGTTATCGATTATCCAAATCCGACAGGCCAGTCTTTAAAAACGCATTATGAAACAAAAGACAACAACGTACTTTTCAAAGCTTTAGACACTTTCGTTATATTAATTTTATGTCCTGATACAAGTGTATATACATCATCACTGAAAATGAATAACTTCATAGCGCAATAGATTGCGTTATTTGTATCATTTGTTGTTCTTCGAAACATATTATAATGCCTGTCTCCCACTGAAGTGAGCAGAACCTCCCCCTGCTATGTTTCTGACATTTGTCTTTTCATACTGGCCGTTTTTTGAAATCATTTTTAATAAAAAAAGATAAAATTACAAAATAACAAGTTTGAAATGTTTTTGTTAATCATGATTCTAATTTGTTTATTCATATTTCAGATATCCAATTAAACTCCGAAGTCAACGCAATTGCTCTACCCCTAAAAAAAACTTTTACAACAAATGATACAAATAACGCAATCTATTGCGCTATGAAGTTATTCATTTTCAGTGATGATGTATATACACTTGTATCAGGACGTAAAATTAATATAACGAAAGTGTCTAAAGCTTTGAAAAGTACGTTGT